CACCATAGCAAATATAATAATAAAAAGTTTGAAATACTGTGAGAATTACCAGAATGTGACCAGAATTACCAGAATGAGGTGAGCAAATGGAAAAAAATGAAGCCTGTAGACTTGTTTAATGTAGGGTTTCCATAAGCCTTCAATTTGTTAAGAAAAAGAAAGTAGTATTTGTGAAGAGCAGTAAGACAAGTTATGCCTTTATTATTATACAGTTTAAGATCTACTTCTAGAGCATGCCCTGTAGTTATACATGTTTAGATTTTATATGATCTTGAATTAAAAACTCAAAGCACAATGCTTGGCATGTAATAGTTCTAAAATTGTAAGTTATCATGATTATTACTTTAACTACAAATGCAGTATAATTTTTTAAGAGCACAGACTTTGACATCAGGTCCTGGTTGGAATTTTGTCTGTAATAATGACCCCTATAAATTATATGTTAATCCTCTTTCACCCTTATCTTTCTCCTCTCTAAAATGGGTGCAGTAATATGTTCTGTATTTTAAGAGAATTAGAGACGACGTGACATATGCGATAAATGGAGGTCTTTCACACAACAGTTATGTCTTTACTGGTTTAGATCTCTCTGTAAACCACAGGGTGCCCTTCAGCTGGGCTTTAGGTTTCTAATTTTTACAATTACCACTTACATGTTTAGCCATTTTCCTTTTTTTTTTTCCCCCCTAAGAATCTTTTGCTCATGTGGCTGACACCAGAGGGGGTTTGGAGTTCAGCCACATGATGTGTAAGAACATATGTCCTCCTATAAAATTTTGTTTCCTTTTTCTCTCCTTTTTTTTTTTTTTTTAAAGATTTTATTTATTTATTTGAGAGAAAAGAGTGAGAAAGAACGTGAGATGGGAGAGGTCAGAGGGAAAAGCAGTCTCCCTGTGGAGCTGGGAGCCTGATGCGGGACTCGATTCCAGGACTTGATCCTGGGACTCCAGGATCATGACCTGAGCTGAAGGCAGTTGCTTAAGTAACTGAGCCACCCAGGCGCCCTGTTTTATTTTTCTTTAAAGCACTTACCTTAACTGAGTAATTATTAATTATTAAGGCTTTTTTTTTCATAGCAGTTTTAGAGTCACAGAAAAGTTGAGGAAAAAGTAGAGATTTTCCATCTACCTCCTCTACCCTGTCTCTCTCTCTCTCTCTCTCTCTCTCTCACACACACACACACACACAGCTTCTCCTACATCAGCATTTGGCAATATGGGAGGGTGGGGTGGGTTGGGGGGGTTTTGTTACAATTGATGAATCTACACCGACACATAATAATCACCCAGAGCCCATAATTTATATTAGGATTCCCTCTTGGTGTTGTACATTCTGTGCGTTTGGAAGAATGTGTGGTACAATCTGTCAGTATGGTATCATGCAGAGTATTTTCATTGCCATAAAGATGCTCTGTACTCCACCTAGTCAGCCCTCCCCCCACATCCACTTCTGGCGGCCACTACTCCTTTTACTGTCTTCACGGTTTTGCTTTTTCCAGAATGTCATATAGTTGAAAGCCTACAGTATGGGCCTTTACATACTGGCTTCTTTCACTTTGTAATATGCATTTAAGTTTCCTCCATGTCTCCATGGCTTGATAGCTCATTTCTTTTTAGTGCTGAATGTTATTCCACTGTTCCACTGTCTGGGTATACCACAGTTTATTTAACCATTCACCTACTGAGCGACACTTCTGTCGCTTCCAAGTTTTGGCAATTAAGAATAAGGCTGCTAAAAAAAAAAAAAAAAAAAAAAGGAAAAAAGCTGCTGTAAATATCCATGTACAGGTTTTTGTGTGGATGTAAATTTTTGAGTTCCTTGGGTAGATTCTAAGACGCACTCTTCTGTAAATTTTCAAGTCTTTGCATGGGACCCAAATTATCAGCTCAGACACTTTCTACCTTTCATGTTTATTGCTTACACGTGATTTTCTGTGGGGATCATCTCAAACCAAGAAGTTCTGACAGTGAATTTGATATAAGACCATCTGATTCTGTATTTTTCCCCCTCACAAGGTTCCTTGGCTCCTACATAAATTTATATTCCTCTGTCTCAGTGAAAAGCTCTCAGCATGACCATGATAGTGTAAGGGGATGGAGCTGTGTGTCAGTCCGCCGAGAATCCCCTAGCACCCTTTCCTCAGGGGTAGCTACTGAAATTATATTTACACAACTAATAGAGGCAACAAGGGTAATTTTGCTGAATATTAATAAAATCTGCAGTGGAGTCACTAGCTTTTTAACCCATATCCATAGAAATAGATAATTTTTAAAGATTTATATCAACAGACATCGTGTTATGAACTTAATAGCTCCTAGCACAAAGCTTGGTACAAGATAAACCCTGTAATAGTGGTAACTGTGATTGTTCTTGCAAATTATGATGATAACTGAGATGATGATAGGATGATAACTGAGAAAGTTGATCGTGAGGCTCCAGAAAAGTGAACAATCTTTGAACCTCAATTATCAAAATGTACCAGGATATTGTATTTTAAGTCAGGAAAAGACATACATAATTTTCAACAACTGCTCTAATGAAGTATCTACTTGGTAAACAGCTAAACCAGCTTAATTTCAGGTGACCTTATTATATCTCTGATCAGCTGAGGTGAGTTTTAAAGTGTGTATAGAAATCTAAATATTTAGGAACAAAGTAGATGAGACAGGTGTATTTGAAGTTTAACAACATAACCATCTGTTAAAGATTGATTTTTTTTGATGGGCTTTATCTAGAGAACTAGCAAATTGCCATAATGGTTCCTGAAATTTTACTACCATTAGAATATTCATTTATTTCTACATCAGTATCTCCCTGGACAGCAGACAATAGAGGATAAGGCTCCCTTTCCAGGTAGCTATGTGGGATAACTATTCCAAAGCAGCAATAACTCCTTTCCTTTCCTTTGCATAAAACAACTCCTGGGTCCTCTTCTTCTTCTTCTTCTTCTTTTTTTTTTTTTAATTTTTGGATTGTCTGAAATAGCAATAAAAAGCAAAAAAATATATATATATATAGCAAAAAAAAATTGCTTTCCCAGGGATTGAAATGGCACCTACATATTTTGAAACCCCTAAAATCTGGATTATTTATATATTATATATTTATAAACAGAGATGGCCTTTGAAAATATAGTCAAATATTCTGAGCATTTATCCCTAACTTATCATAATTATCATTATTATTTTTCACCTTTGAGCAGCATTTAATTGTCTCTCCACAAATTTGTAAACTTTACTCGAGAAATCTTCATTCTAAGTATAATTAATTTGTTGATTTTTCTGATTTCTAATAAAATATAGTTATTCCTTGCTTATTAAAGTTGATACAACATTTTATTATTTTATTTGTGTGCTTTCTCAAGATTTATTTTTTTAAATAAAAAAATTTAAAAAAATTTAAAGATTTATTTATTTTAGAGAGGGGGGAGGGGGAGAAGCAAAGGGAAAGAGAATCTCTAGCAGGCTCCCTGATGAGCACTGAGCTTGATGGCAGGGGTCGGTCCCACAACCCTGAGATCATGACCTGAGCCAAATCAAGAGTCAGATGCTTAGATGACTGAGCCACCCAGGTGCCCCAAATTTGATGCAACATTTTAAAAGTATCATACATTCTCATTGATTTTTGGTCTCATTTTCAAGTTACTCTGCCAGTAACTTGATAGAAAGCAAGCATATTTTTGAAATCAGATATTTTATAGAAACTTAAAATATAATGCTTATAATATTTATAAGTATTTAAAAAAATGTTGTATTTATAATATTATAGCTCACCTCACCTTTTTCCCTGTGTAGGTAAAGCATTTCCAAAATTGAAAATGATTTATCATTAGGTTGAAATTCCCTTGCAGTTTTGAATTTTATAATCTCAGTGAGTGATTTATTGTATACTTTTGTTCCCTAAGCTTAGTGCTTTCTTCCTAAGTCTTTTTATAAGGGAACACCTATGCAAATTACTACTGTATCCTTGGATATAAATAACCAATGACCAAGGATTCCAGTGCAATAATCATCTGTAGGAGCAAAGCTCATTTTGTGTTGGGATATATAGTAACACTGAATGTCCACACTGAACAAACTCAAATTGTGCATTTAGGGTTTATCTTTCTTCCAGAATCATAGCAATTAACAGTTATTGTCAATAGTTGCAGAAAGAATATTAGATTTGGGGTGAAAATCTTTGGATTTCAATCCATTTGTACAGTTTCCTAACTCTCTGACCTTGGTTATATCAGTAACTTCCCTGAGCTTTCCTCTCTTCATCTGTAAAGCAGTTATAATAATAGCACTTTTTTCATTGGGCTATTGTGAAAGTTGGATCTATATAAAGCATTTAGTACAGGGTCTGTGACATAGGTACTTATTAAACATTAGCTATAATTCAACATTATTATTATAACTTCCCAGTCCTGCCTTTTCTCTTCCTCTTTTCTTATGGCTTTGTGGAAATTAACTGTTTCTTACATATTGACCTGAAAAGTGGGTCAAATTATTCTTCCCTGCACAAATTACACAATGCTTCAGGAAATATTAAGCTTTACAAAATTGCTGATGAGTGTTATATTAAATATAAACTGGATTTTTCCAATATTGATTTTTTTTGGAAGTACTACTTACCATGTTTTAATGTAAAATAATCTGTAGGAATAATTAATTCTTCCAGATGATGTCATAGCAGCAGAGAAATAACATGAGTATCAGAATAAATTAGGTAGAACTTAGCAATTCTATAACCAAAATGGCTATTAATACTCTTTCTTTGAAAAAATATTTGGTAAAAATTTAATTTCTTGAATTGATAATTCTGCCTTATCAATTTCCAGTATGAAAAGCACAACTCATTTTTTTTTTTTAAAGAACTGATAGGATCCTTTTTTTTCCTCCAAGATGTCTTTTAATGTACTTAGAGAGATTTAACAAAGTGACAGTTGAGTTCTACCCTTTCTAAAGTTTGTGAACACTTTGGAGAGCCACCTTAGGAGTCACATTTTGCTTTTTCAGGTTCCAGATGCGACTTTGAAGCAAATAGCTGTGGTTGGTTTGAAGCAATTAGTGGTGACAATTTTGACTGGGTATGGAACTCTAGAAGTAACCTTTCCACTGAATTTGAGCAACAGGCCCCACTTTGGGATCATACTCACAACACAGCTCAAGGTAAGAAACAAGGAGAGGCTGGCTGTTACTCCTTCCGTTCACCCTTGGTCAGGTCTGTTCAGAGAAAGAGAAGCATTTGAAGTTCTATGTTAGTGCAACAAATAGTGTGACAGCTTAGTTATGCTTATGTTTGTTATTATGAAGTGACTCCTTTATGGGTGGTGGGGAGAGAGTATAGATATATTTTTGGCTGAATTCACTGAAATTATTAACTTTTTGCATCATTTTAACCTGGAGGTGGATACTAGTTTAGTTTCTGCAAGAGCAAATTTGACTAACAATCACTTTTATTGATTTTTAATGGTCTAGTCTTAATTTTAGTCAGACACAGAGCTTAGGATGGGGTTAAGAGGCAGGTGTGTCAGCTCAGTCTGCTAACTTACAATTTGTATTTGTGTTCTAATAGGGCATTTTATGTTCATTCTGAAGAAAAGCAGAAGCTTGTCACAAGTTGCCAAACTCCGGAGCCCAACCTTTAGCCAGGCGGGACCTGGATGCACGCTTTCCTTCTGGTAAATTCTAAAAACTGTGGTCAGCTACCCTTACAGCCCTGTGGTTGCAGGCACACTGCTGCACTTACCAGACTTCATGATTTGCCCCTGGTTTGGCTTTAAAAATAGGTATTGTGTTAGATTTACACAGTCAGAATTTTTCTTAGGAACACATTGTCAGCATTTGTTGTGTTCTTTCTTTGAAGGAAAGGGACTCTTTCCCTCCAACAGTGGATTATAATTTAATTAACTCTGCCTCCCCTAGTCTGAACTGAACTCCTTGAGAAAGGCTCCCCGGGTCCTGCGAGCCAGAGTGTGCCCCTCAGCAGATAAGCTCTCGCATATGAGCAGCCGCGATTATGGCAGGAAAGAAGGGCGTCCGTTGTGATAGCTAATGATTAATTGGCTGTTGATCAAGCGGAAGAGCCTGTAAGTTAAATGTTTAGTCTGTGCCATAAATCATTTCCATTCCTTGTGTTGCCTCTTTTTTCAGGTTTTATAACTACGGTCTGTCAGTGGGGGCCGCTGAGCTCCAGCTACACGTGGAAAATTCCAGTGACCCCACCGTACTCTGGAGAGTATTATATAACCAGGGCAACCAGTGGTCACAGGCGACTGTTCAGCTTGGACGCCTCACTCAGCCCTTCCATTTGTCGCTAGATAAAGTCAGTCTTGGCATTTATGATGGAGTCTCCGCAATTGATGACATCAGATTTGAAAATTGTACTCTTCCGCTTCCTGTGGACAGCTGCGAAGAGCCAGATTTCTTCTGGTGTCGAGGCAGCAAAGCTTGCGTAGAGAAGCTTCTGTTATGTGATCTGGTAGATGATTGCGGTGATCACACTGATGAGGATGACTGTGGTAAGTACTTTATTATTTTTCTCTTTTTTTTTTTTTTTGGTCTTTCTTATTTTGATAGTGGGGATCTTGATTAGTTCAATGTTTTCTAGCCAGTTAAGGCAAAGACACAAAGGATGACTGTGGTAAGTACTTTATTATTATTATTATTATTATTTTTTTTTTTTTTGGTCCTTCTTATTTTGATAGTGGGGATCTTGATTAGTTCAGTGTTTTCTAGCCAGTTGAGGCAAAGACATGAAGCATTGTTCCAAAGTTGATGACTGTGATGAGTGATGAATTAGTTGAGCTACCAATGTTTGTTATGGTGACTGAGGAACTAGTTACTAGAGATACAATGCTGAACACAACTACTGAGTCTCAGATCTCAGGGACCTTATGGTCTAATCGAGGAGATGGATGTTATTCGAATATTTAAAGAATAAATACAAACTGGCAGCTTTGATGGGAGATACAGAGATGACTTTTTATGATAATGGTATTGAACTTCCTAGAGGTGACAACTTAGCTGAGATCTGAAAAGTAAGAAGTCAGAGTGTCTGTGCAAAAGCCCTGATAAGTGACTGCATGGCGGATGGAGGCCAGCCAGTGTGGCTGGAGGGAGGATGTGAAGGGGATGGAGGGTGCCGCATAAGGACAGGAATGTGGGGGAGGCCAGATTTGCAGATCTTCATTGTCCGTCTTAGGGAGGTTTTTCTTCATCTGAAGGTTTTTAATAAGGAAGGTAATATAAAAAATTGGCATATTAAAGCATGTCACTGTGGATACAGTGTGATGAGTGGGTTGGAGGAGAGTGGATTCAGAAGACCCATCAGTAGGCCCTTGCGGTAGTCCATGAGGAGGGGTCGGCATCCCAGCCAGATTGATGGAGATGGAGGGATTGCTATTTGGGGAAATATTTGGAAGGAACATTTGATGATGTTTTGGCTACAGGGAGCAGAGATAGATAAGCTGATAGATAGGCTGTCAAAGATAAGTCTTGAGTTTCTGGTTTAAATTACCAGAAAGCTTATGGTATCTGATGATAACATGTGTTCTACAGTTTTATGAACCTAGATCCAGATAGTGCCCACTGCACTTACTCCTGAAAATGAATCAGAAGCTCATAGCTGGTTTTTTTTTTTTTTCCAATTACAAAAATCATTCAGAAAAAGAGTTTGCATCTTCCCTTGTCCAGAAATAACAACAATTCTTAAAATTCAAGCTATATGCTTATTACATTGAGAGGCTAATTATAAATCAGAGGGAAGCCATAAAATGCTTGGTACATCATAGGAAACACTGCATTAAGAAATTTCCATATAAATTATTGTAGAGAGTCCTGCATATATGTGGTCTTTGATACAGTCAGGTGGATTGAAGTCAGAATTACCATGCGTCTCATTACACAACTAATACTTGAGTGGATAGAAATAAAGTTGATAGTTTAGACAATGGCTAACACAAGAAATGTTACTTGTCCTCCAGGTAATTTATTTGTTCAGATTTAGAATGCTTTTTCATCTTTTTGAAGCTCTCTGAATCCCCCTCCTCAAAAAAAAAAATGTGGTATGTCACTAAAAATAAGCAAATTAACCTTCAAACCACTCAGTGCCAACTTAGAATGGAATTACGGCAGTACAAATATAATATCAGAAACTTCTTGTGACTGAATATTAATGAAAGAGAATAGGAGTGGCATTAGATGGTGAGTTTCTCTCACAGCTGTCCATATAGACATATTATTGGTTTGAATAGAACCATTAGACATCCAGAAATCGCTGTCGTGTTTCCTAAAGTTGCCCATGTTTAGAGACAGGGTCTTTTATTTATAGATGGAGCTGCACACATTCCCTTTTGAAATACAGATTGCACATACAGTCCATAGGAAGACAGGCGATATCAAAATCTGTTGGCTTGAGTGCCAGTTTTATGTCAAAAAACTTAGCAGTTTGACATTCTCCTTCTGCTCCACAACCAAAGACTGACACCTGGGGAGTACCCCGCAGGTCCCCAGTTCATGTCACAGCTGGGCTTGATGAGTCACAAGTGAGGAAATATCAAATGAAAGCTCATCTTTCATTTGACATTTACTCACTGGGTTCCCTTCATTAGGTCTAAGCTCCTGTTCTGTGGTTTGCAGAGACAGATGATCTGTTCTTGCCTGGCTGCATTTATCCACATATGCCTGTATTTACTGTTTCAGAATATTTATTCCCCTTTGGCACAAAGTGCATTTACTAAGATGAATAGTTAAAGGACAGCTGACATTTATTTTTAAAAAAATACCAACTTATGTAAATGAAGCTAAAAGGTAGAACTCCTCGTTAATTCTAAATCCTGTTCTTTCTGCCCAAATAACACTAAATGTACATTCTCTGGCATTTATTCTACACAAATCCTGGGTGTCAGCAAAAATGCCCACATCCCCCAAAATGAATACATTCCTATATTATGCTAGAAATTATGGTAGATTGTCTAGTTAACAAGGGACAAGTCAATTCTTCATAAGGGCTTTCAATTCTTCTAGAGACTGAGGGGAGTTTAAAGTTTCACAGCTCCAGCTCAAAGGAGCTGCAGTGCAGTGGGAAGAAAAGATTGCCTCCCAGGGGACACAGCACAACAGGAAGCATAAATAGGGAAGGAGAGAGGCATGAGGTGTTTAAGCATGTGGGGAAGATGTTATATGCGAAATGAAAGGATAGTTAGGGACGAACAGGAAGTTAATTTCATTTGGGAAAGGTGAAGATTGAAAGAAGAGTTTAGATTTAAGTTTAGATTAAGTGAGTATATGTTATAGGAATTTGAATAGAGGAAGAAAATGATAAATTGCCATGAAAGGTGAAAAGATGGTCATTCTGGCACTGGGGCCAAGGGACATTTGGAACTGGGCCAAGATGGAACCAGGGGGAGGAGTTTTTCAGCATGAGGTCTGGAAAACATTGACATCAGAATCATGTTGGGTGCTTGTTAAAAATATGGATTCCTGGGCTTTACCCCATATCTGACAAGCTAGTACTTCTATGGGGCTTCACCATGGAGTGGCAATTCTACCATCCTTCAGGTGATTCTGGAAGACTGAGCCCTATTAAAATATGACTGTTCTCAGTTCTGCATGTTCGACTCACCAAGGGAGATGATGAAGTATCCTGATATTTGGTGCACGATTTGCACCAGTTACATCAACATCTCTGGGGGCGCCCAGTGGCTCAGTCTGTTGAGCGTCCAACTCTTGATTTCGGCTCAGGTCATGATCTCAGGGTTGTGAGATCGAGCCCTGCGTTGGATTTCGTGCTCAGCGGGGAGTCTGCTTGACGGTCTCTTTCCCTCTGCAGCCCCCTCCTTCTCACACACTCTCTCTCTCAAATAAATCTTTTTTAAAAAATTAACATCTCTGGAGATGAATTCTGGGCCTTGGTGTTTTTTGTTTTGTTTTGGTATTTAATGTTCGCCGGTGATTGGGACATTCAGCTGAGGTTGAAATCAGCTGAGCCAGGAGTTTGGCACCTTGAGTCGGCCGTGGTGTCATGATCGTTTGCATGGAGTTACAGTGCGAGAAATGAGGAAGGGATAGAGAAAGGCATTTGGAAGTTGATGGCTAAAGTAATGCTGCCTTCAGTCTATAAAATATTATTACGTGATATAAATCTAGGATTTATTCACCTTTTAGAAACTTTAATGTTGCATTTAAAAAACAATTAAAATGGTTAACCATGTCAGGAGCAAAAATATCAAAGAGTTTTCTTAATCGTAGTTATTTTTATCCTAAATTATTCATTCATTCATTCATTCATTTGCTATTATTTAATGCAATTTCAGTACCTGAACTCCAGTGTAACTTTGAAAATGGAATTTGTAACTGGGAACAAGATACAGAAGATGACTTTGATTGGACCAGGAAGTGCGGTCCAACTTCGACACTTAATACAGGGCCCATGAAGGATAACACTTTGGGCACAGCTAAAGGACACTATCTCTACATAGAATCTTCGGAGCCACAGGTTTTCCAAAACAGAGCTGCTTTACTCAGCCCTGTCCTCAACGCCACCAGTACAGAGGGCTGCACCTTCCGCTTCTATTACCACATGTTTGGAAAGCACATTTACAGGCTGGCCATCTACCAGAGAGTCTGGAGTAACACAAGAGGACAGCTGCTGTGGCAGATATTTGGGAATCAAGGCAACAGATGGATAAGGAAACACCTCAGTGTTTCCAGCAGGCAGCCTTTTCAGGTATGGATAATGGATTTCATTATGTGTATTTAAAATGCATCAGAATGTCTAAGGAATATGAAAGATTCCTATAACCTTGAATTAAAAGCAAGTGGAATTTGATCAAAGTTACTTCGAAATACATTTGTCATTCAATTAAGGGTGTACCAAAGCTTGTTAAGTTGTTTTCCTCCTCGACTACCCCCAATAATGTATGATTTAAAATTTCTAAAGGTGGACACATGGTATTAGCAACAGCTGCAGGTCCCTCTGACTTGAGGTCATTTTTCTACTGAAATAAAAAATCTGGAGGGAAAAAGAGTTCTGCACAATTTCTGGTATTCTGCCAAATGTTCAGATTCTAAGATCTGTTATTTTGAATATTTCATTTGACTTCTTCATTTTGTAGGTAAGTAACAAAAATTCGAGAAGAGTGCATGCTTTGTTGGAGAATCACACAGCTACTCTGGGGCCAAGCCAGAGGTCAGTCTAGCTAGGTCTCCTTACTCCTGGTGGAGTAGACATTACTTCTTTACTCTGAGTCTCGGACCTTCTCCTAAAAGGAAAACTTAGAATGGCGATTTTAAATGCTTATGTGACTTTTGTAGTTTGGTGAAGGAATTTTCCGTCTATTATCTCTTTGATTCCCTCAACAATTCCCTGAAGTGGGTAAGTCAGGCTCCTTTTTTGTCAGTTTTACAGATAGGAATTTAAAAAAAAAAAAAAAAAAAAGCCAGGGAGGTGGTTATTTATATCTGGTCAAAGAGATGGTGAGCCGCAGAATGGGGACTTGGACTGGAAGCTGCGGTTTCCGATTAATTCTCATTCATTCCCTTTCTTATATATCATATAGCTTGTCACATGTAGGAGGGTTGAATATGTGTTCTTTTCACCTTTGCACAAATAGATCTACATATAATATATGGAGAGAGACTTCTTACCTCTCTTGGCTAAACATTTTTTTGTTTTTTGCTTTTTTATATATGCTGAATTTCTCTGTTACCCTAATTTTAAAGTACTGCCTCTTTCTAATTGTCTTCACAGCTTTGTAGCCAAGAACTTAGCTCCAGGCCCCCCGTTAAGAGCCATCATAGATATACATCATATATGACTCACTAGAAAACACACTGAAATTAGTTATTTGTCTAAATAGGCATAAGATGAAATCATGAGAACTAATCTGCTGCATGCACAGAGTTCAGCTGTAACGGTAAGATGGGTGTAATCATAAGAAATGCAATTGAAGGAAGGTTCTTTGACTTTTATTTAATAATAGCTCATCCACTTCAAATTAATTCTTAATATTTAATCAGGTGAATTGTAATTTGGGTCAAACTAGTATTCAGTGGATAAACTCTCCTTGTGATATTTACTCAAGAATTGGTTGCCAGGAGAAAAATCATCTTGGCAAGGGAGCTGCTTCACATTCAGATGAACATGGAACTAACCAAGGAATCCTTTAGTTATGAATCTGAAATATAGAAATTGGGGTTTGAAACCCATTTTGGGTTATGCATGGAGTTCTCTGTTTGATTTCATCTAATGGTTCTTCTAGGGTTTTGGTTTTTTTTCCATGACATTTAGGCATGAAAAGGTGAAATCAGATTGTGCATGCCATGTGGATTAATTATTTAAGAGTGTAAAAACTGGGTGCAGTTGAAGCAACCAGGTACTTTTCTTCATTGTATGAGTATACGTAGTTGTTGCAAGAGCGGCAATAACCAAGATTTTATTCAACTGTGATATTGTTGGTGAAACTACCTAGTATCAATCCAGCAGGTAACGTGCTCATTAAATGTTTATTTCAAAGAAAAATTCAAGGATTTTTCAGGGATTATGTATGTATGTATAGTTGACACACAATGTTACGTTCGTTTCGGGTGTACAACATAGCGGTTCAACAAGACTATACATTATGCTATGTTCGACAGAAGTGTAGCTACCTCCTGTCCTGACACACAGTTTTTACACCATCATTAGCTATGTTTCTCATGCTGTGCATCCATTATTATGACTTACATGTTCAATAACCAGAATTCCGTAACTGCCACTCACCTTTAACCATTTTGTTCAATACGCCTCCTTCTTCCCCTCTAGCAACCACCAGTTAGTGGTCTGTATTTATAGGTCTCATTTTGCTTTTTGTTTGTTTATTCATTTTTTAAAAAACTTCCAGATAGTGGAATTATATAGTTTTTTTCCGATGTATTTCACTTAGCACAGTATCCTCTAAGTTAATCCTTGTTGTCTCAAATAGCACATCTCATCCTTTTTATGGCAATATAATATTCCAGTGTGTGTGTGTGTGTGTGTGTGTGTGTGTGTGTGTACCACTTCTTTCTTACCCATTTGTCTTTTGGTGGACACTTAGTTTGCTTTCATATCTTGACTATTATAAATAATTCTGTAGTAAACATGGGCACATTTATCTTTTCAAATTAGTGTCTTTGTGTTTTTTTGGGTAAATACTCAATACTGGAATTCCTGGGTCATATGATATTTCTACTTTTAATTTTTTGAGCATCCTCCATTCTGTTTTCCACAGTGGCTGCGCCAATCTGCATTCCCACCAACAGTGTAAGAGGGTTCCTTTTTCTCCACATCCTTTCTAATATTCTTTATCTCTTGTGTTTTTGGTTTTAGCTATTTTGACAGGTGGTTCTAATTTGCAGCTACCTGATGATTAGTGACCTCAAGCATCTTCTCATGTGTCTGTTGGCCATCAGTATGTCTTTGGAGAAATGTCTGTATATGTCATTTGCCCATTTTATAATTGTTTTTTTTTTTTTGGTGTTGATTTATGTAAGTTCCTTATATATTTTGGATATTAACCCCCAATTGTATATATCGTTTGTAAATATCTTCTCCCATTCAGTAGGTTGTCTTTTTGTTTTGTTGGTTGCCTTTGCTGTGCAAAAGCTTTTTATCTTGATGTAGCCCCAATAGTTTACTTTTGATTTTGTTTCTTTGCCTCAGGAGACATATCAAGAAAAATAGTGCTATGGCTGAGGTCTGGGAAATTACCGCCTGTTTTCTCTTCTAGGATTTTTATGGTTTCAGGTCTCACGTTTAGGTCTTTAATCCATTTTGACTTGGTGTGTGTTGTTAAAAAGTGGTCTGGTTTCACTTTTTCATGTAGCTGTACAGTATTCCCAGTACCATTTATTGAAGTGACTGTCTTTTCTCCATTGTGTATTCTCGCCTCTTTATTCATAGATTAATTGATAATATAATCATATATTTATTTCTGAACTCTCTTTTTTATTCTGTTGATCTGTGCATCTATTTTTTTGTACCAGTACCCCAAACTGTTTGGATTACAGCTTTGTGTAGTATATCTTGACTTCTGGAACTGTGATACCTCTAGCTTTGCTCTTATTTCTCAAGATTGCTTTGGCTATTCAGAGTCTTTTGTGGTTCCATACATATTCCAGCATTATTTGTTCTAGTTCTGTGAAAAATGCTCTTGCATTTTGATAGGGATTGCATTAAATCTGTAGATCACTTTGAGTAATGTAGACATTTTAATAATATAATTTCTCCAATCCACAAGGATGGAATGTCTTTCCATTTTTTAAAATATCATCCTCAATTCCTTTTAATCGGTGTTTTATAGTTTTCATAGTACGGACCTTTCACTTCTTAGGTATTTATTCCTTTATGATGCAATTTTACATAGTGTTGTTTCTTAAATTTCTCTTTCTGCTACTTCATCTATAGTGTATAGAAATGCGCTACCAACTTCTGGGTATTAATTTTGTTTTCTGCAACTTTACTGAATTCATTTATTGTTTCTAGTAGGATTTTCATATCATCTGCAAGTAGGGAAGTTTTTACTTCTTACTTACCGATATGGATTCCTGTAATTTCTTCTTGTCTGATTACTGTAGCTAAGATTCCCAGTACTATGTTGAATAAAACTGAGAGGGGACAGAGGTGCCTGGATGGCACTCAGTTGGTTAAGTGTCTGACTTAATTTTGTCTCAGGTCATGATCTCAGGGTAGTGGGATCAAGCCCTGTGTCAGGCTCCATGCTCAGCTGGGAGTCTGTTTGGGATTCTCTATCCCTTTCCGGCTGCCTCTCTTTTTCCGCACCACATGTTCGTTCTTTCTCTCTAAAAATAAATGTTTAAAAAACAAAACAAAACAAAACAAAACCAAAAATCTGAGAGGGGACATTCTTGTCTTGGAAAAGCTCTCAGTTTTTCCCCATTGAGGATGATGTTAGCTGTGGGTTTTTCATGTATGTCCTTTATTATGTTGAGGTATGTGCCTTCTGAAACCACTTTGTTGAGGGTTTCTATCACGAATGGATGTTATAATTTGTGAAGTGCTTTTTCTGCATCTATTAAAATGATCATATGATTTTTTTATCCATTCTCTTTTTGATGTGATGATTCATGCTGATTGATGTGCAAATATTGAACCATGCTCACATTCCAGGAATAAATTCCACTTAATTGTGGCAAATGATTTGTTTAATGTACTGTTGGATTTGGTTTGCTAATATAGTTTAGGATTTTTTTCATGTATGTTTACAGAAATGCCATCCTGTAATTCTCTTTTTTTGTTGTAGCTTTGTCTGGTTTGGTTTCATAGAATGAATTTGGAAGCATTCCTTCCTCTTTTATTTTTTGAAACAGTTTGAGAAGTATAGGTATTAATGCTTATTTAACTCTTTGGTAGAATTCCGCTGTGAAGCTATATGGTCCTAGACTTTTGTTTGTTTGGAGTTTTTTGATTATTGATTCAATTTCATTGCTGATACTTGGTCTGTTCAAATTTACTGTTTCTTCCTCAGTCACTTTTGGGAGATTTTATATCCATGTTTTCTGTGTTGTCTATTTTGCTGGCATATAATTTTTTATAACTTACAATTCTTTGTATTTCTATGATGTCACTTGTTTCTTCTCTTTCATATTTTGAGTCTCCTCCCCCCCTTTTTATTGTTTGGTGAGTCTGGCTAAATGTTGGTGAGTTTTGTTGATCTTTTCAAAGAACCAACTCCTGAATTCATTGAG